TCATTTGGACCAACTGTATGTCTTAAACACCCAAAAGGAAAGTATAACCAAAAAGTAAGGTGATCAATACATTTTTTTAAGAGTTCAAGGGATTACACTTCTTAGACATTAGGCTTAAGTCCATATAAAAAGTTATTTAGACAATTATTTCTCATTGGTGATTTTGTTCTGAATCAGAAAGTGCTGCTCAGATGTAAGAATTCAAATCTTGGTCGCCAATACTGTAAGTCCCCACCTGTAGCTAAGGGAGACAACCAGCTATTGTTCTAAAATGATGGATAAATTTGTTTTCTCCCCTATCTAAAAGCCTTTGAGAGGGAACTGACACTGATTCTAACCACTCCAACAGCTATCAAAATGCCTGACGGCAAATACTGAATCCTTCACTCTCAAGTCCAGCCTTGGCAGACAAAAGGAAAATTAGGAGGAACCCAGTAGAGGGATGCTCTTAGAAGCTCTTGTCAAGAAATTCCAATGGACTCTCATATGAACGTTTGAAAATTACCCTGTTCTTTTTTCTAGTTCCCTGTCTAGAACTTGTAATGCTAATTACTCTTGCCTTTACTTCTCCTTCACTAGTCAAGGACTTTCTTTTCCCCCTAGAGATAAGAGTTAGGCAATTTGGGAGTCTTTTAGATAGACCCACTGAAGGAGTACCCCAATTGCCTCACCCTGTGTCCCTGTTCATCATGGAAGAAGCCAGAGCGGTCTGCGTCCCTATTCCCTATCCGCAAGCTAGGTAATCTCTTCAGAGGACGGTGTGATAAGAATAGGAGGTAGGAATTGGCTAGGCACTTAGTGTAAAAAAATCCCAAAGAAAAGTAGCCAGTTTCTTGGCTAAAAGTCAAAATGTCCTTGGGCCTCATAGCAACATACTCTGTTCCAAAGGCCAAAAATGTCAAATGTCAAAAGTATTTGGGAGCGCTTATCTAATCCTTAAAAGATTTTAGGGTTACCTCTTCAGAGAGGGGAATGTTAGAGTAGCAAAAAGCCCCAATTAAAAAAAGAAGAAGAAGAAAGTACATGAAGTTATCAGAAAAAAAGTGATGGGGAGATATGGGAGGAGTTGGAGGGGAAGGGAGTGGGCATGGATTTGATCAAAACACCTTATATGCTTATATGCCTGTATGAAACTCTCAATAAACTTTAAAAAATAATTTTTTTAAACTTTAAAAATAATTTTTTTAAACTTTAAAAATTTTTTTAAATAGAAGTACATTGTAGAAGAATAACTGCATGTAGCTTGACCAACAATGGGTACTATGGGTAGACGAGAGAGGAAAAGAGAGAGAGAGAGAGAGAGAGAGAGAGAGAGAGAGAGAGAGAGAGAGAGAGAGAGAGAAGTGGGGTGGTCAGGCTGGTTAGAAGGGTGTTCCAAATACTGGGAAGTGTCAAGAAGACCACTGTTAGCCAAAGACCAGTTTCCTACTGGTAGGAAACTAGTAGTAAGACCAGTAATTAGAGCCATATCAGATTGGGTGGTTGCCAAAGCCACAAATTAATAATATTCATGTAGGCTGAAGGTACACTCAGTGGTAGAACATAAGCTCAGGATACATAAGGCCCTGGGTTCAATCCCAGTATCAATTTTTTAAATGTTCAGGTGAATAAATAATTAAAATCAACAAATGAAACATTATCTTACTGAGAAGGACAAGGAAACATAGTCAAGCATTTGGGAAAGGGACCCTCCCCCCACACCAAACATTGTCCAGTGGTCCCTCCCTCCAGACTACAAAGCAGACAGAAATGTGAGTAAGCCAGCAGCCCAGCCGTGGATCCCTGGCACTTAACAGGAGGAAAAGAAGCCAAGAAATCATGGCTACTGTACCTTTCAAGTTAGAAAGCAATCTAAAGAGGACCAGTATCCAGGACCCAAAGGTTAAATTCTGTCCTAACCCCAACTGTGGTTCCAGGGCCTGATGATGGGCAGACCACCAGCTGACAAATGAGAATTCAGAGTACAGAGCCTTCTTGAAGTTCTCTAAATTCACCTTTAAAACCCATGTGGAAAAAAGCTAAGAGGGACAAACACTGACCAGGCACCCGAGGTGGGTGGATAGTGTAGTGAGAACTCCTGACCACTGCAGCTCTGAACTTCTGCAGAATTCTGTCTTTATTATTTTCAAATTTCCTCCGGTGCCCTCTTTTCATCCAGCCTCCCCCAGCCTAGTAGCTTCAGGTTTGCAAAGACACTCGGGGCTGGATAGCTTTAGTTGTCGACTTGACACACCCGGGTAGAGGGAGCCTCATCTGAGGAACTGCCTCCATTGGACTAGCCTTTGGCCACGTCTGTGGTATATTTTCTTGATTTTTGAATGATGTGGGAGGGCTCATCCCATTATGGGTGGTCCCACCCCTGGGCAGGTTCTGTATTGTATAAGAAAGCAGGCTGAGAATGGGCCAGGGGAGCAAGCCATTAAGCAGCATTCCTCCATGGCCTGTGCTCCAGCTCCTGCCTCCAGGTTCCTGCCTGAGTACCTACTGTGAGCTCCCTGATGAACTGTGACCGGGGAGATGTAAGCCAAATAAACCGTTTCTTCCCCAAGTTGGTAATGGTCAAAGTGTTTTGTCACAGCAATTAAAGGCAGACTAGAACAAACTCCATCTAGGAATTCCTTTACCCTCAAGACTCCCAATTAACCTCTTTAATCAGTAGCCTCAATTTCACAGGAGTGATCCTTGCTGGATAATAGAAAAAAGTAGACTAGCTATATTTAATTCATAGTAATCTACAAACCACCCAATTTAAGCTTTTCAAAGAAGACACTAAACTCTCAGAATGTCAGATTTTAGCACAATGCAACAAAAAGACAGTCAAGGTTTAGAGGAGTATTTTAGAACAATGCTCTTTCAAGAAGCAATCTACAAAGTCCTTCTCTGAGCAAAGATGGTTTCCATGGGAGGAAAATACAAAAGCAGCATCATTTAATGGGGGCTCATTTCCCCTTTGTTGCTTGTCTATCAAACTTGCCTCCAAGCTAATAAATTAATAGCTGCTTATTTTTCCCTCAGAGGTAAGTTTGCCTCCACCCCAACCAAGTACCTGCTTTGTCAATCACATTACAATGACTAGAGAAGGGGCCCTGTGGGAGGGACAAGCCCCGCTTGTCTGCTATTCTCACCTCAAAGATCTTGCTGTCTTGCCTCTGCACCTGGATTTGTTGATCATATGTGAGGTTCAGAAGTCCACTGCTAGCAAAGAATTCTATTTTCTTAGGTAGCGGTCCTTGAAAGGTCAAGTTCTTCTCACCATAAGCCACAGCTCGAGCTCCCAAGTGCAGTCGATAGGCCACAGTCTGTTTATCTCGAGGGTGGATGCTGCACAGTAAAAACAGTGGACAACTTTGGATTTGAGCTTAACAATAACTGCGTGTTTTAAAGGAGAGTACAGAAAGCACACCTGAAGAATATAACAGTAGAGAGCTGGAAAGATGGCTCAGCGGTTAAGAGTACTTGCAGAGGACCCAGGTTCAGTTCCTAGCACCCACAAGGAGGCTAACAACAGTCTGTATGTAACTCCAGTTCCAGGGGATCCAACACCCTCTTCTGACCTCTATGGGCATTGCACAACACAGGTGCACTTGCATACATGCAGGTAATACACTCATACTCATAAAAAATAAAAATAATTTTTAAAAGAATATAAGGATAGCTTGGTGTGGTAGCATGTCTGTAATCCCCAGCACTCCAGAGGCAGAGGCAGAAGATTGCCACAAGTTCAAGGTCAGTCTGGTCTACATAGTAAGACCATTTTAAAAAGCTAAAGAAAAGAAGATGAAGTAGGGAGGAGGAAAAAGAAGAGGAAGAGGAGGAAGAGGAAGAGGAAAAGGAAGAAGACAGGGGGCTAGAGAAATGGCCCAGTGCTTAAGAGTACATACTGTTCTTACAGAGGACCTGAGTTCAGCACCCATGTCAGGAAGCTCACAACCACCTATAACTCTGGCTCCAGGGGATCCAGCACCCTCTTCTGGGCTCCACAGGCACCTGCATGCACATATGCACATACCCACCACATACACACACACACACACACACATGCACACACACAATTTAAATCTTAAAAAGGAGGAGGAGTGGAAGGGGAGGAGAAAAGGAAGAAGGAGAGATATAAGTTGCCTGAAATCTGCATCAGTGACTAGTGATTTTTTAAGAAAAATGGTGAGTAGTAACCAGAGAGATGGAGCTCTGAGGCTTGAGTGGCTTTGGGACCCTTGAAGCAATAGAAGGTTTAGAAGGAAGACAAGGGGGAAGACAGAAAGAGGGAGCAAAAGCATCAGTAAAGCCTAGGACACCTAAAATAAAACTCCATTTTTGACTGCTAAAAGTCATGTTTTAACTGGATCAGTCATTTGAGATGGCCTATGCTTTATTTGTTTCTTCAGTAAATAGTGCCTTTTATAATCTAAACATCACGTATCAGGCCCCAATTCATATTTTAAGTCTGTACCCTACAGCTAGTGTGTGGTAATTATTGGTGCTGATGATAAAAATTCCATCTGCCCAAGTCCATGCTAGAATTCCATGCCCTGCTCTCACTGAAGGCATGAAGGCCATAGGACTTGATCTGGCTGGTGCAGTGTGAGCAGCAGTGACATGTAGCTTCCAGATGAAAGCATACACTTGCCAGTTTAAGACTTTAAGATGATGATGAAAGGAAAATAAACGTGGAGATTTTTTTTTTTTAGTGGTGGTACTAGGATTTAAACCCAGTACCTCAGGCATGCTAAACTAGCACTCTACCACTGAGCCACATCCCAGCCTCTTGGGAGATTCTTGCTCTGTATCTGTGAATAACTAGAATGAACAAAGTCTCTATTGACGTGCTTTGATGGGGTGTGAGCATGAAAAACGTTTTGTTGCATCAAAGCACTGAGGTATCAAGGTGGTCTTGCTCAGTTGGTTGGCTGGTACTTTAGGGAGGGGGGAGTTGGATTTTTAGTTTTTACTTTGGATTACTGCCATATGTCCCAGCATAGATTGATAGATACATAATATGCCTAAGCTCCAGTCTTTAGGCCAATCCATTCCCTCATATGTGAACATCATAGTGAAGGACTATAGGCAAGAACTTGCAGTGGTTAAGCAAAGTTAAAGCCAATCATACCTGCCAAAAGGCGAGTTCCTATCACAGAGATCCATAGTGACAGCCATGAAAGTATTGGGCATCTTCAGGTTGGGGACAAAACCAAAGTCTGCTGTTTGATGCCAACGGATCTGAGGAAATCCATAATCGGACTTGTTCACAGACCAGTATGAAGACAGCTGGAAAAGAAGATACTATCATTTTACTGCATCAGAACCCTGTATGCAAGCTGCTCACTGACACTTTGCTTCATCTTCACAGATTGTCCAAATAGTCAAGTATTTACTCGGTATCTCATTGTCATCTAGGGTCTTTCCAGAGGTAGATGACACAGTCTCCATCAGGCAGATGGCCTTTCACAATGCAGTTTGCCACACCTCTTGTCAAGAGTCTTATTCTTCCCACTCAATCCAGGCTGGTCCTGTGATTTCCAATCAACAGAATGTGGCAGAATTAATGTGTGGCTTCTAAGTCTTTGCCTGGAGGCCTTTGATGGGTTCTCATTCTCCTGAAACTATGTGTTGGCCATGAAGGGGAAAAAAATGCCCTGCTACTCTGCTGAAGAAGTTGTGGAGAGAGGAGTCTTAGAAACTGAAAGATCATGGAGACAACCAGCAATCCCAGATGAGGGGCCAGTCATGTGAACTGATAGGCCAGAGGAGAGTCATTCCAACTTAGCACAGTCTACCCAGCCCTTGGAATTATGAGCAGATAAAACAGCTAGTGTTTAAAGTTACTGCTTTGAGAGAGTTTGTTACAAAGCAGCAGGAACTGATAGATCGATATACACACAGGCTAGGCACTATAGGAAAGCAGAAAAGAACAGCCCTTGTGTGCAGAAGCTGTACCAAAACCCCCAATTCTTCACTCCTTCCCATATCCACACCCTTCTGCCATGTGGCTTTGCAGTTCCTCCCATTAGGAGGAAGAGTATATTTCCAACCCCTTGGTTCTGAGCTCAGCCATGAGGCTTGCTTTGGCTAGTAGATGGAAGCGAGGGTTAGTGTGTCCATGCCTAGGCTAGGCTTCAAGGGGCCTTGCCTGGTTCTACATGTGTTTCTGTAGTTCCATCATCACTAAGGGAAGGACATGGCTGGGCTAGCCCAATGCTCTAATAAAGAATGAGAGCTGTGGGACAGAGTTGCCCATCTAACAAGTCCAGCTGTGCCCCAACTGGAACAGAGCCCCCCTAGAGCCACAGAGATCTAAAAGTGCCCTAAGGAGCCTAGCCAAGAGCACTCAACCCCCAATCTATATGAACTATAACATAAAGGTTATTCAGAGCCCAGGATTTGGAGGTGCCTTGTGACAAAACAGTACCTAGCTGGTACTACTTCTTTATAGCTTTGCTGGAGGGACAGAGCTAAACATAGAAAATAAACACATAAACAGAGTTAATATGTAGCCACATAAAATAGCATGAATTGAATGCTAAATTGGTGGCACAGCAATTTGAGTATACATTTCAAGTAGACAAAGAGTACTATGGCCTCATATTTGGGGCAGAGGAGGGAAAGCACAGAAAATCCGAGAAGCCCTGTAAGCAGGGCTGCTCACACTTCACATGTCAGAACCTGGGAGGGGAGAATGGCTTGAGAGAGAGTGCAGTCTACCTGGACAGGGGATTTGTGATGCAAAGACAAGGTTGGAAAGTTAGCCAGACAAGTATGTGAATACCACTGCACCACAGAGGATGTGATGATCATACAACACTGTGGGTATGCTAAACTGCCTCTGAATGAGCACTGGAAAATGGTCAGCCTTGAATGAATTTCAGTGCAATTGGAGTGCCAATTTGTTATACTAAAAGGACATCTATAAAAGGTAATACAGAAATTATACACAGAAACTGACTACTCAAGAAGCAATTATGATATTTGTTGTCTACTTTAGAACTTGAATATCCACAAGGAAGCATGTGTTCAAGGACTGGACCACAGCCCTGGTGCTACCAAGGAGATGGAAGAACCTTGAAGAGGTGGGGCCTAGAAGAAGTTAAGTCACTGAGAGATTGAATTCAAAATGGATACTAAGATGCCAGTCTTTCTCTTTCTTTCTCTCTCTCTCTCTCTCTCTCTCTCTCTCTCTCTCTCTCTCGCTCTCGCTCTCGCTCTCGCTCTCTCTCTTCCTCCTTCTATCCCCCCTCCCTCCCAGGGGCCATGAGATCAGACCTCCTCTACTACATGGTTCCACCATGATGGCAACAGGGCCAAGGACTAAAACCTCTGGTCAAAACAAGCTTTTCTTCAACTTACACACACACACACACACACACACACACACACACACACACACACCAGATCTATCTAGAGGGATAATAATGGGAATGAGATGTTCAGAAATGAGACAAACTGACATGACCAGGCAACCGAATGGACACAGGGCACAAGAGAAAGGATTAAGTGCAGAGCTTAGAATCTGTAACATTCGAATTATATGCCTGAGATCAAGAAAAACTCACCAAGGACAATTACAATATGTGAGAGAGAATATTGTTTCAGAAAGAGTCCATGAAGGAGCAACAGCTTCTACAGTATCAGTCAGCTCATTCATTCATTCTCTTTTTTTAAATGAATAATTTGTTGAGAATTTCATACAGGCACATAAGGATATAAAGTGTTTTGATCAAATCCATGCCCACTCCCACCCCTCCAACTCCTCTCATATCTCCCCATCACTTTTTTCTGATAACTTCATGTACTCTTTCTTCTTTGATTTATTTTTTTATGGGGCTTTTGGCTACTCTAATATCCCCACCCACCTGAAGAGGTAACCCTAAAATCTTTTAAGGATTATATAAAAGCTCCCAAATATTTTCAACATTTTGGCCTTTGGAACAGAGTATGTTGCTAAGAGGCCCAAGGTCACTGTTAGATTTAGGCAAGAAACTGACTACTTTTTTGTGGGGTCTTTTTACCCTAACTACCTAGCCAATTCCTACCTCCTATTCTTATCACACCATCCTCTGATGGGGTTACCCAAATTGCCAATAAGGAATAGGGATGCAGACCATGCTGGCTTCTTCCATGGTGGTCCTTGAATCATGACTGAGAGATGTGAAGGAGAAGTAAAGGCAAGAGTAGTTAGCATTACAAGTTCTAGACAGGGAACCAGAAAAGAGTCAGAACTGGGCAAATTTCTAACGTTCGCTTCAGAGTCCGTCAGAATTTCTTGACAAGAGATTCCAAAAGCATTCCTCTATTGGGTTCTTCCTCATTTTTCTTTTGTCTGCCAAGGCTGGGCTCAAGAGTGATGGACTCAGGATTTGTTTTCAAGCACTTTGATAGCTGTTGGAGTGGCTAAAATCAGTGTCAGTTCCCTCTCAAAGGCTTTTAGATAGGGGGAGAAAACAAATTTGGCCATCATTTTAGAGCAATAGATGGTTGTCTCCCTTAGCTACTGGCAGAGACTACAATGTCTTACATCTGAGCAGCACTTTCTGGTTAGGAACAAAATCATCAATGAGAAATAACTGTCTAAATAACTTTTTGTACAGACTTAAGCCTAATGTCTGGGAAGTGTTATCCTTTGAACTCTTAAAGAAATAATGCTGATCACTTTATAATCTTTGGTTATACTTTCCTTTTGGGTGTTTAAGACCATACAGTTGGCCCAAATAAATCAATTTATTTTTACACTTAAGGCTATTGAGAATCTGTTCCTCAGAGGTCACATGGGCTTGGGAGGAGCCCCTGGCTCCTTTCTTTTACCAGTTCCATCTATGTGAAGATAAGTCAAAGGTCCTGCTCAACCATGTCATGCTTCACTTGGAAGCATGTCATTCATTCTCTTAACAAATGTTTAGTGAGCACCTAGTTGATTTCAGGTACTAACCTTCACCAAGGAGATGGAGTAGCAAGCAAAACACAAAAACTTTTCCCATGATTACATTCTGGATGTTAGAAATAAAATCCAAGATCCAAGGACCCCATCAACAAAGAACACACGGACAAAGTGCAAAATCACTCAGCAAGGCAGATTTTACTTTGGCAAAAGGTGACCTGCAGGTACACACAGGACATAGGGAGCTTTTATCCCTAACTCAAGAGACCTGTGTTTTTCCCCCATTGGCTGGGGTCCAACCTCACAGCCTTCCAGGTTGGCTAGTTAAAAAGAATTGACAGGAAGGGAAAAGAGCTCCACTGTTCCAGCCATCAGGCTCAAGAATGCATCAGGGCCTTTCCTTAAACAAAAGTCTTAGCTGGGCATGGTGTAATCAAAAGATTAGAATTCCTTGTCATAAACCAAGTTTCAAGTTTTACAGAGTGTGAAAGAAAAGACTACTATCAGGGCTGGAGAGATGCCTCAGCGGTTAAGAACACTGACTGTTCTTGCAGAAGACCCGGGTTCAAATCCCAGCACCCACATGGCAGCTAACTACTGTCTGTAACTCCGGTTCCAGGTGATCCAACAGTCTCTTCCATCCTCCACGGGCATTGTACAACACAGGTACACTTACCTACATGGAGGCAATACATGCATACACATAAAATAAAAATAATAAATAAATAAATTTTTTTTTTACAAAAGACTAGTATCAGCCGTGGCGCACGTGGTGCACGCCTTTTATCCCAGCACTTGGGAGGCAGAGGCAGGCGGATCTCTGTGAGTTCAAGGCCAGCCTGGTCCACATAGTAAGTTCCAGGACAGCTGGGGCTACAGGGAGACCCTGTCTCAAAAAGACCAAAAAAAAAAAGACTAATATCTACTGTTTCTTACAGAGGGAAGAAAACAAACATGATAAGGTAAATGTGATAAGATAATTCACTTGATCACCAAGAAAGTGATACCTACAGTGGAAAAATACATAATAAATATATAAAGTGCATATATATAATGTAAATATGTAAATATAAAATATATAATAAGGAAAGACAGAGTCTAAGACTGAACAGAGACTACAAAGTAAGAGAGCAAACTATGTGGCTAGCCAGGCATGGTAGGCAGAATTCTACGATGACCTACTCTAGTCCACATCCTTAAACACCTTGTGTGGTGGGGACCTGCAACTTGCTTCTAACCTACAGCCTGTGGCAAAGGTAATGGGATTTATTCCCATGATTATACTCTGTCACATGGCAAAGAAGGGATTTTGCACATGTAATGTCCCTATCAGTAGATTTCAGGATCACCAACAGGGAGGGAATCCTGATGAGCCTGACCTAGTCATGGGGGCCCTTTCAAAGAAGATCTAGGAATCAGAGAGTGGCCCCCCACTGGCCTTCAGGAAGCAAACTGCTACAAGTCCTACAGCTTCAAAAAAATTAATTATGCCAACAAATCATGTGAGCCTGGAAGAGAACTCCAAGTCTCAGAGGAGACCCCAGTTCTGCCTGACACCATCATTGCAGCCCCAAGCAGAGGGTTCAGCTAAGTCATTTGTGCCCAGGCTCCACACCCACAGGAACTGTGAGGTAATAAATAAATATATGGTACATGGTTTTAAGCTGATAAATATAGTCATTTGTTATGCAACAATAGAAAATTAATAGAGTAGGCAGGAAAAGAAGAAAATGTCAGGAATTAAGACCGAAGGATGGCAAATGTCCTTAAGGAAAAATCAGGCAGCTGATATGGCTGAAATGGAACAGGTGGAGAGCAACAGGAAGGGAGGTCAGGGAGTGATGGGAACAGAGCACACATGTCCTTGTTGACCTCAGTCAAAGGTGGGATGGGGGAAGTAAGCACCAGAATCCCGACAGATGAGCTGAGAATATCTGAAAGATATTCTAGGTAGAGGCAAGAATGAAGGTGATAGTAGGGAGACAATAAGTCAATGGCGGGTCTTTCTGTATAATGAGTAACAGGATTAACTACTTCACACTGAACATTGATATGCCTGGGAAGAACAGACCCCCAGAAAATGCTATACCTGTTCCTAGTACTAAGAATGAAGGCTGTTGAAAACTCAGCCATAAAGATGACATCTCTACCTACCCTCAAGGGTCAGGGAACATTAAGGAAGGGGGAAAATGAATGTAAGACACAGAGGAAGGTGGAGAGAGTATGAACCACTAACTTCTGGACATGGTATGGCTGCTGCACTCTTGAACTCAGAGCAGCTGCGATTACCTGCACAAGACTGGGACTTTCAACACTGAGTCATGGGAGGGGGAGGGGCTCATGAGGCCCCCACTCTCCCTGAGGATTTCTATGCAGTTAATGGATGATGAGAGAGAAACAGACATTTTCTACTTGTGAGGTACTCATGCGCCTATAAACAAACTCACCCATGCTCCTGTGAAGAACCCTAATGAAACTCATGGGTCACACACATACCAATACATGAAAGTAGAGGGGGCTAGTCAGGAAGAGGAGAGGGATGGTCAGGAGTAGGAGGGAAACAAGAGAGGGTAATAGGATGACTATGATAGAGGCATCATGTACATGTGTAAACATGTCATTATGAAACCCACTGTTATGTACAATTAACATATGCTAATAAAAACATTAAATAAAAAGAAAGAAAAGTGCTTTACCATTATTGTGGCACATATGTTCATGCTATTTCTTTCTTTCTTACTTTTCTAGTATTTACACCACCCTGTTCTTTTATTTAGATAGTATCTTATTCTTAGCTCTAGTTCCAGCCAACGAAAGACATCAACCCACTCTCTCTTACAAACTATGATCTAACAATAAGTCAGACCACTGGGGGACAGTCTGGGCCAGCACCCAAATTGTCTTTTGACTCTATTTCAAAATGTCTGACCCCATCAGAGGAGATATATTCTACACAGACTGTTCTACTCAGTCTTATTAGTCACACAGCCCAGAAATAACTGACATCATCCCTACAAACATGGCCAGATGAAGCTTTGAGGATGTTTTCTGTTTCCTGAGTGAATCCAGAAAGACTAGTACGACATCATGAGGAAAACACAGAAGATACAATCGTGCCAAAGAGCCCTGGCTATGACAGAACTAAGGGAACATCTCAGTTCTTGTTAAAAGTCTGCTGTGCAAATCTGCTTTAGCTTCACATCAGAATCTCATTTAAAAAAAAAATTAAAAAGGTTCAGAGCTGAGAAGATAGTTCAGTTGATAAAGAGCTTGTACAGGAAGCTAGATCACCAGAACACACAATCCCAGCACAGGGGAGGCAGAGACAGGCAGATCCCTGACACTCACGGGCCAGCCAGGCTGACATGACATACCTGGTGAGGACAGGGCCTAAGGAATGATGCTTGAAGTTGTCCGTCCTTCTGACCTCCATGCACATACATGCACACAAACACACGTGCACCCACACCCACACCCACATACACACACAGAAAGAATATAAGGCTCCAATGAGTCACTCAGCTTCTTCCATACAACATGTAACAACTGAAAATGGAATCATGTTCACCAGTCAGTGTCCTGATGAGAACCAAACAAGGCACCGGAAGGGCCTAGGGGAAGCACTAGCCAGAAGCGCAGCAAGGAGGCCAGCTACCAGCAGCCCCTCCAGCCTTCAAAATGGAAGGCTGCTGAGAATCCCTGCAAGGGTCTACTCTATTTCACTGACAGCACTGCTGCACATGAGCCACTTGGGGGCACCAGCACACTCCACACCCAAGTGAGGTGCTTGTTTGTCCTAGTCAGAAACATACAGAGAGAGGAGCATGGTTCAGTCTCCCGTGGTGCTTCTTACAAATACCAAGGCTAATGAGGACAGTTTTCAGTCCGTTCCTCTAAGCTCCCTTTAAAAACATGTACCCCTAAGGACTCTAGTCCCTTCTTCTCTTCCTTCTCTTGTGCTTCTGGTCACCTCTCTACCAACAGCTCCTCAACACCCAACCAGCCCTGGTCTCTCCACAGAGCTATTGTAACCATTACTTGAAACTCCATATTTCTCCAAAGCCACCTCATCTTTCCCAGCAGGACAGCTATCCCTCCAGATGCTCTCTCTTCTCTCAATAATAAATGCTACCATTATGTGGCATGTGCCAATCTTTACATGGATGAAAGTCATGTAATAACTAAAATAAGAAAGTTGTTAGTGGTTTGTTCACAATCATAGTGCTCAAGGAGTTCTGCAGCTGTAGTTTGAATTCCAGTGTCTAACTCCAGACCTAGGTCCTGAACCACTAAATAAAGCTGGAGGTGAGGGACTCTACAAACTGTAAGGCCTAAGAGAAAAGAGGAGATGCCATGCTTACAAGTATCCAGAGCATAGTTTTCATGTGAATTAGATAAAGTCACCTTCAAATCACTAAGTATACATACTGAAAAAAAGAAACACAGCAACTGCTATTTTGAACTTAATGAACAGAATAATCTTATTTCAAAGTCAAAGCAAATATAAAAAAGAAGAAAGAAAATAATCATAAAAACAGGTTATGTAAAAGAAAGCCATTTTTTAAAAAAACTAAAAAATGGGGTATAGTGGCTAAGGAAATTTGCTACAAGAAAAATAGTATGCCGCTGTTTATAGAAGCAAAATATTGGAAACAGCCCAGTAACCATCTATTAAGAACTCATAAAATACATTACAATGCAATCATGTTTCCAAATATTCTGTAATCAGTACAAATTGTGTTGAGGAATAGTATTTGTTGGCATGAAAAATGTTTACAATATGGCATTAAGAGAAAATGCAAATATACACAAGTAGAAAGGTCTGCTTTTTTCTAGAATTCTCGGTGGTTTTAGCTTTGGTGGTGGTGGAGGAATTTTTTTTTTTTTTTTGGTTGGTTGGTTGGTTTGATTTAGTTTGCTTTGGAATAGAGGGGTTTCCCTTCTGTTTTGTTTTGGCTTATCTTTTAATTTTTTTTCAGTGAGCCTTCAGTGGTTTCTATAGTAAGAAATATTAGTTGTTGGGGGCTGAAGAGATGGCTCAGCGGTTAAGAACACTGACTGTTCTTGCAGAAGACCAGCGTTCAAATCCCAGCACCCACATGGCAGCTAACAACTGTCCGTAACTCCAGTTCCAGGGGATCTGACAGCCTCTCTGTCCTCCGCAGGCATTGCACGACATGGGTGTGCTTACCTACATGCAGGCAATAAATGCATACACAAAAAATAATAAAATATTTTTAGAAAGAAATATTAGTTGTTTATTAACATTTAGGAAGACTTAATATGCTCATCAGTGAATTCACATGAATTAATGAATTAATATAGAGTTCTGGACTAGCATACTATGAAGACAACAATCGGAATATAAATTCCTGGACCGAGATCTAGATAGCACAACCTCTACCCGTGGCTCATAAGCCTCCTTCCTCTGAACACCTACCTGGACAAATCCAAATGGAAAGAAACGCTCTGTCTGCCCCTGGGAGCCATGGTGGAAGGTCTCGCGCCAGTCTTCAATGAGTGCAGGGAACGTGCAATTATAAAGGTCCCTGTTATAATCCGCATTGGACTCCCCTAAAAATCGCCAAAGTTGCAAGAGGAGTTAGTGTGGATTTCAAAAATGGCCTAAATTCTTCTTCTCTCCCATCCATACAGTGAGGGAATGGCCTTCTCCCTCTCAGGACCGGCCTCCTGACTCCCTGTGGCCAGAGGCATCAGCAAGCATGATGCAAGCAGAAGCTTCCAAAGAGCCCCAGCTTTGGGCTTGGTTCTCTCTTGATGCTCCTGGAATCTTTGAGACCACAAGTAAATAAAAAAATGAATCTAAGGCAATTTGTTAAAGGAAGAAAGGCCACCTGAGAACCATGATATTGATGGCCCTCAGTTAATAGACACAAGAGGCAGGCCAGACTAGGTCCTCCAGCCACCAGATAACCTGGAAGGTGGACAAAGACAGATAAGAGATCCTGGCTGAAACTAGCCGAAGCAGCCCAGATAGAAGAGCAGCCCTGTTAACCCAGAGTTATAAATAAAGTTATAAACTCATTGGGTTTGGAAGACATTGACTCCTTAGGATACTCTGTTATACAGCCAAAGCTAACTAACACAACAGAGGAAAGGTAAGCAGAGTACTCACCCTGGTACCACACCACCCCTTTCAGAGTCATATTATGCAGTGGATGGATCATGGCATTCCAGAGAACACAATCCTCTTTGGGACCAATTACAAAATACTTTGAAATGGACCTGAAATCAACAAAGTGTACAAGGCTCACCAGATCACATGATGGTCAGTCTGACCACATTCACTTGGACAAACTTCAGATGAAAGTGACACAGAGGTAAACCAGTCCAATCCATTTCACTTGAAAACATGTAAACAGTCTTGGAATTTCACCTCCAGGTCATTCTGAGGGTAAGTGTACCAGTCAGTTCCCTACAAGTCCACAGTGAGCCGTGCCAGTTTCCAGAAAAGGTCATTAAAGCCAGCAGAAAGAATGATTTAGAGGCAATAAATTCTGCTATTCAGTGGACAGACACTAGGGTCGGTTTAAACACTGTGCTTTTATGAGCAATGCCATGATTATCTTCTGTATAGCAAAACCATTGCATCTGTGCTTGATTCTTTCTGTAAGATAAATTCCCAGCAATGACATTAATGAGTCAAAAAATAAAATTGTTTTTTTAACTTTAGATATGGTCCCAAATTTCTCTGTGAAACACATTATGAATTCATCTTTGCAGTAGCTGTATATGAGAATTCCCACTATTCCATACATTTGGCATTTTCCCACCTACTCCTCGGGGGTCTGAAGGCCCTAGTTTTAAAGTCCCACCAAATGCTAGGTGTGACTCTCCCTCCTTACTGTACTGGAGGCCGTTCTTTTTTGTCCAAAGTTAATGTCTTCATCCCCTGACAGGCAAGCCTTTACCCAAACCATACCAAAAGCAAAGTCCCTCTTCCACCCAGAAGTTTTCCCAGAGTGAATGAGAAGGTACTCATGAAAGCCAGACACATACTGTTCATCACCATTTGTACATCAGTATTGGGACTTTTAGTAGTTCTTTCTTTCCCACCCCATAAATTCTTCCCATCCAGCTTTTCCTAAATGGGCTTTCATACTGAGCACACTAAGAGATTTTTGAGTACACATTTATACATTTGTTCTTTCTGTCTAGCTGTTTATTGTTCAGGCAAGAGAGTACAGTGGTTAGGAGCCCACTAGACTAGGCCTTACTAGCCCTGTTACCTACTCTCTCTGGGACTCAGTGTCTGAACTAGAACATTGAGGGAGGTGTTGAGAGAACTAGGTAAATGTGATGAGCTTAAAACTGCATGCTGTCAGCAAGGACTAGCGATTACTGTTACTAGCCAAATGATCATAATTCCCTCTTGACATGTTCCCAGATGATTGCAGTGTTCATGACAGTGAAAATAGCACTTTACCTGCACACAAATAAACTCCATACGTTTACTACACATTTAGACATTTGGCATACACTTACCCCCTAAAAGGAGGCCCCTTTCTCTTGGACTCACTCCTCATGGGATTTCTCAGAGGCTGAGGAATGCTTTTATTATGGAAATGGAAAGCTTTTGCCATGTGCTGGTAATTAAGAACTTGGCAGCAGGGAAATCTCTGTAAGAGACAAGAGACAGGTATGGGGGAGGTTGCCCAGGATGGAAGTCTGTTTTCCAAAGTTTTCACATTCCTGTAACCTTTCCAGCCATATGTTATCTTGCTTAATTATCACATGTACCTTTTTACTTAACTGTCACCTATATGCCATTTTGCCTTTTGTTCCCCACACATGAGTATAAAAACCCTCCAAAACTTGAAAACGGGTCTGACTCTTGTTTTGTGGGTCAATCCCACTAGCGTCAAATTAAAACTTCCTTTCCTCACCTGACTTTGGCTATTGGTCTCTGATTTTTCCGTAACACTTTCTTTCCTTGTTTTAGGGACTCCACAGGCTTTCAGTGACCTTCTAGATGACCAGGCTTCAATAGGTGTCCCACCCCAGCTGGAGGAGACCAGCCCAATGGGATATTGCAGGGTATCGTACAGGTAACGCCCGAAGAGCCAGCACACTGCTGACATGTAAGTAAAGTTTCCATGGCCTAAGTTTTCTGTTCAGAGAAACGGTTAAAGAGGAGTCAGGAAAAATAAACAAATACAAACTGCAGCTATCAGTTCAGTCAAGGTAGCACGGTAGGCATAAACCAGCCCTTGTGTTCCTTACTGAGGTGCAAAAGCTGAGATAAGAGGTGATGACAAGATACAGCACCAAGATCAAGCATCTCTTTCAAACCTTCCCTAAGGAGAATCTTTCCACAGGGCAGAACTATGGCCCTAGCAGCAGTTTCATCTACTCTCTCTTCAGTTTGTTTGTTATTTCAGTTGCTCTAAATGCTTGTTTCCATAATGAACAAATAGCACTCTGGACCCAGCAAGGAGACAAATGGAAACAATTGTGTTCTCCTTTTGAGTATAAATAATTCGTTTACATAACCAGGAAGCCAGAACTCTAACCAGGCAAGCAGGTCTCTCCACACTACCAGCCCTTCAGGCACCAAGATCTTAGTTAGGTAGTGGTATAAAAGCCTTCAGGTTCCTCTTCCACCTTTTACCTGCCTTTCTCTTGCCTGGTTACTCATTTAAGGCAAGCAAGCAGTAGGTAAAGATGAAATGTATATTTTTCTGTGTGATTTTATACCCAATTCTATAGTAATGAGGACACAGAGACATGAAAAGTCCTGCAAAAAGGCAAAGCAATGGAAGCCACAACCAGTGATCTGTTAGCAGTCTAACTCACTTGCCCATATAGCCCAGAATCCTGCACAGGCCAGATTCCACATTAGAGAAGAGATGAGGAAGAGGAAGCAAGCATACACACGCAGCTAGCAGGATCAATTCGACCCAGTGCTTATTGAAGGTCTACTATATTATGAATCACTGGCATGGTGCTATAAGTGGCCCAAACCCAAAAGTTGAGAATTCAGAGAAAATCAAATCAATTTCAGATGAATTAAAATTAATTGAGCACTTACTGTCAAGAACTACACAGTGACTGAGATACAGTAATTAAAGAGATACAGAGACAGAACCTCTCCTCATAAGTCTTAGAGCTTACCAAATCAGACAATTACCTGAATAAAATAAATGACAAAATACAGTGTCTCAAGAGGTTAAAAACAAGTTTTAGGCAGAATTAACAACAATGAAAAAGCATTAGGTGAAATGAAGATCCTAAAAATATAGACTGACTTTCACCCTCTCTGCACAGATCAATCACTGTACTTCCCAGTGCGTCCCGCTTTCTCGCTCCACACACTACTAACTGCCTGAAGGCAGGGACTTCATCTTGTTCACATCTGTATCGCTAATATCTAGGATATAAACACAGTCAGCAAATGTATTTGCTAGTGTTAGGTGGCTGTGGGCAGCTGGTTTAAGGTGGATCCACGGAGGGGTAGGTAGAGGGAAAAGCACAAGAAGGGAGAAAGGAGATGAGGAGGCCGTAAGGATAGGCAGGAGTTTATTTATTTATTTGTATGTGTATTGTGTATATGTGTACACATGTGTATACGTGTGTGTGTACAGATGTGCAAGCGTGTGTGTACACGTGTGGAGGCCAGAGGTCAACATCAAGTATCTTCCTCAGTCACTTTCTACCTTATTTTTGAGCCTGAAGCTCACTGACTCAGCTACACTAGTCAGCCATCAAGCTCCAGGGATCTGACTGTCTCTGTATCACAGGTGATGGATTACAGACCTGCACCACAAACACCCAGCTTTTTAGGTGCTGGGGATCTGAACTCAGGTCCTCCTGCTTACATAGTAAGCATTTTACCAACTGAGCAATCTGTGACCCAGATAGGAGTCTAAAAGGAAGAGCTGGCATTCTCTGCAGAAGAAAAAAATGTGTACCTAGGGCACATCGGAGAGGAAAGATTCTAAGAGTATTTGACTGGAGCAAAGACCACAAAAGGAGACTAGAAGAAGGCAATGCTAGAGGGGAGGTCTGCATATAAGAAGATATGAAGCACTACAAGAACAAACCCACACCTTAGTCCCGGGCATCTGAGATTATGTTATTTGTATGTCTGAAAGATGTTGGTAACGAGGTACGGAGCTGGAGATAGGGAGAGTATCCTGGATCATCAAGTGGTCCAAGCTAACTACACAGGTGCTTAAATCAGATAATACTTTCTAGGATACAGTCAGAGCAATGTGACAACAGAGAAAGAAACAGGAGATTCTAAACACGAGAGATATGACCTACTATGCTCTTCCCCTCTAAGACCTGCACTGTTTCCTTCAGGTTACTACTGGGATGTCACCTTGCTCAGCTGTCCTTCTTGGCACTCTAAATTGCAAACTTTACTCCAATCCAACCTTCGCTATCACCTCCCTCTCTGATGTACTCATTTGTTTACTCTTGCCTCATTAGCACACACCATCTTACCTGCCCTATGATAGCCAAATTTATTTTCCTGGGTTCAAAGACAAAAAGAAAATTCAGATAACAAGATGTTATATATTATCCAAACCTGATTCCCGTGCTTAGGAGAATGTAAGCAACAGTCCTTTTAGCAAAAGATTTGTCAAAAACTTCACATGAATCCATTCCATTCTGGAATACTCTTATCAGCAGAATTCGAATATGGTAAGACTAGATTGTGTCAGATACTTGGCAATTATTTTCTTTTTGTTTATTTACTGGTGTCCCAGACAGTGTCATTTGTCAATCTGACATACCTGGGAATAGGAAACTTCAGTTGGGGAATTTCCTCTATTGGATTGGCCTATGTCTGTGAGGCATTTTCTTGATTGTGGAGTGATATGGGAGGGCACAACCCACTGTGGGTAGTGCCACCCCTGGACAAGTGGTCCTGGGTTGTATAAGAAAACATGTTGAAGGGATGAAGAGAAGGCTCAGCAGTTAAGAACACTGACTGTAAAAACAAAAACAAAAAAGAACACTGGCTGCTCTTGCAGAGGACCCAGGTTGGGTGCCTAGCGCCCTCATGGCAACTCACAGTTGCCTGTAACTCCAGTTCCAAGGGATCTGATGCCCTCTTCTGGCCTCCACAGGCACTGTGCACACATGGTACTCTTAATACAAGCAGACAAAACGTTCATACAAATAAAATAAAAATAAATAAAATATACTTTGAAAGGAAGGAAGGAAAGGAGGGAGGGAGGGAGGGAGGGAGGGAGGGGAATAAGCCAGTAAGCAGCATTTCTCTGTGCTCTAATCTTCAGTTCCTGCCTCCAGGCTTCTACCCTGAGCTCCTGCCATGGCTTACAGACCTCCATGATGAACTGTAAGCAATGAGGTAAAAATAAGCCTTTTCCTCCCTAATTTTCTTTTGATCAGTGGTTTATCACAGCAATAGAAGTAACTAGGACACTGTGTGCAGGATGGGGTTCGGGGGTATGTATATGTGTTTAAGTCAGAGGACAACTAGTGAGAGTCAGTTCTCCTTTTCCACCATGTTGGTCCCAGGGATCAAACTCAGGCCATCAGACTTGGTGGCAAGGGCCTTTACCCACTGAGTCATCTCTCTGGCCCCTAGCATCAGGCATCTAGTATGCAACTTACTAATTACTCACCTCCCATATTCTCTCACACTAGGCTCTAAGCACACGTGGTTAGGTGTTTTTGCCTATTATATCCCTACTATGTCCCTAGTACCTAAAACAGTGTCTAGCACATAATGGGAACTCTGATATATGTTGAGTACACTAATACTTGAAAAGGCAGGAGCATCTAAAATCAAAGAACTAAAGCACATACAGGTGAAAAACGAAAGAGCCTAAGAACAGAGCCCAGGAATGTTTGAAAGGAAGGATTGAAGAAGCAGAGAACAGGGAGGGAGATGACAGAGGAGACCATGAAGGAAAAGTACCACACAACTAGCAGGAGCATACAGTTGCTAAGGGTGGTCAGCAGCGTTGAGGGCAGCCGAGGTCCACGAGTTCATAATGAGCAGGAGAGTAGCAACCTTGAGGTGTATAAACTATTGAGGTAGAAGCAGAGTTTACTAAAGAGTGAACCATGCTGGGGCAGTGAACAAGACATTCTAGAGAGGAGAACGAAGCAAAGGAGAGAGATGGAGCTCCAGGAGTGGGCGTTTGCTGTGTTTGGCTTTGTCTTATCTTGTGAACAGCTACTCCTGTGGTCAGGACTATGTGTCTACCTTAGGTACTGCTGTGTCCTTAGGAGAGCACAGAGCCTGACACAGAAGAAGCAGAGGCATGAAATCAAGATTGCGTGTTGAATGGAGGGAAAGGGAAGAACAGAGACTGAGGGTAAAAGAAGACCCTGGAAGAAGTCATATCCAAGTTCACGCTGAAAAGGCACCAGTCAGTTGTCTTTAGAGCAGCAACAGAGCAGGAGAGAGAGGAAAATACAGAGGGTAATAGCAACGGAGAAAGACGCTGGCCCGCTTCACACAGAGCAGCCCCAATGTAGCCAGTGAAGTGGAGGGAAAGTCATTTCCTCAATGCAAGGGGGGAAGGTTCATGGTGGAGTCTCGAGAAGAAACATGAAATAGTGGCCATCAGGAATGCAGTGGGGAGCCAATAAGGAAAAAAGGACAGCACATTAATAATAAAGAGCCTAAAGGAACCAATGGGGCTTCTAGATTCCACTTAGAGCAGCAGCCCATTCCCTACGAGACACACACACTGAAGCACTCCATACCTGGAGTGGGCTTGGACCACGACAAGTCAACTTTGCTAAGGTCCTCCAGCTCCTCCTCTGCATAATTGAGAGAGACAGAGAAGATGCGGACAGACTGGTAGGCAGAAGTGTCAGACAACTCCTGTGTGGCATTAAAGACCTAGAAGAGAAATCAGAAGGTCATTTAACTTAGTAGATGGCAAACCGGCCTGCAAATTCTTAGTAAACAAGTCTTCCAACCCACTGAGCTCCTTCTGAGACTTTGATATACTGAGATCAAATGAATTACCAAAATCAGTAATGAACTGAACTAAAACACCTTGATCTACTCTGACCAACAGAGACCATGAGGAATTATGTTCCCAAAGAAGGTTCAAGTACAATGAAACCTATGACTTTCTGCAACAGGTCCATATTTGACAAGAGGGCCTGTGTACTGAGGTTAAAGAACACTATCAATTAGATCAACATAATATCTTTTTTAATATCATTATATTAACTTTTCATGGTGCTAGGGATGGAACCCAGGACCATGCGCATACAAGGTAAGCCCTCTATCATTAAGCTACGTTTCCAGTCTGTAGATTACTATAATATCTTAAAACTAAAAAATTTGTTCTTCTGGTAACTGACATTTGTTAACACAGCTTTGGGATTAAAATCTTTTCGTGTTATTTTTTTAAGACAAGATCTCACTATGTAGCCCTGGCTGCCTGGAACTCACTATACAGACCAGGCTGGCCTCGAACTCACAGAGATCCACCTGCCTCTACCTCCTGAGTGCTGGGAATAAAGGTGTGCGTCATTTTAAAATGGTGTTTAGAGAATGTCCGTGGGCCTGGAGAGATGGCTCAGCAGTTAAGAGCACTGGCTGCTCTTACAGCAGACTGGGGTTCGGTTCCGAGCACCCACATGGCAGCCAATACCCATCCGTTAACTACAATTCTAGGGGATCTAATGGCCTCTTCTGACCTTCAAGGGCACTGTGCAATATGGGTGCACTTACATACATGCAGGCAAAACATTCATACACATAAAAATAAATATTTTGTTTAAAAAAAGAGAATATCTATGGAGACCAAAAAAAATAAAAAATAAAAAAATAAGCCTTGACTTCATACCATATGAAAAATACATTACAAAGAAACACACCTCAGAAATGACCGCAGAAATGAAGTTTTCAATGTTTATATTCTCACAGCTCTCTGGGTTTGGCAAGTTGCCAAGGAAAAAAATGGGAAAAGAGATAATCTGCAGATGCCATTTAGGGTAAGACTCAGGACAGTCCCAAGGAAGCAAACAAAGGGGAAGGTCTGTCCACAGATATATATTTTCTCAAGCCACTTTATGAACCCTCATCTGCCACCAAGAGAATGACAGAGTGTCTCAGGGCTGTTCTGTGCCCCACGTTGAGTAATTCATCCCTTGGTTCTATTAAGCCTTATTCCTTTCCGAGTTTAGGCACAAGGACTGTTTCTCTTAATCCTGGCCTTTTAAGGGTTTTCCCCCTTTATTTTAAAAAGAATAGACTAGCAATATCTTGGTTTGCTTTTTTATTTGTATGCATGTTTTCTCTTGAGTCCTCTCCAGCCCCCAGAGCTAGTTCAGCTTCTCCCAAAACAAAGGGCCCAGAAGATCATCAGGAAGCGCAGTTACCCTTCCCTGCAGGGGACAGGCTCTCCAGCTGAGTCCGGCTACCACATCGAAGGTGCAGGAGGCCAGGGCACTTTCCATTGGCCTCCAGCCACAGAGAGGGCAGCTGGCTTGCTTTTTCTCCCACCCACATCAGAGAACACAGCTGGCGCTCCAGCCCACAGTGGAAGAAGAGAAAGAATAAAGCATCCAAGGTGCCCCCACAGAGCATTTCACTGAAATACACTGCCCCTTGAATCGCCTTTGACTTGGCCAAAGTGCCTGCTGCAGCCAAGCACATGGTCAGATGCAAATGAAATTGCTCTTTGGTCACTATGGGAGCCCACAGCCTGAAGTGCCCCCTGGGCGGCAGGAGCTCCAGCATGGCAAGGTTACTGGTGTCTCCACATTCAGGACAAAAATTACATGTGGTCTCAGGAAAAGTCCATTGGAAATCCTGATCTGTTCCTTCAGGATCTTACCTGGCAGGTTTAATGTAAAATAGATGACAAAGAATAAGAACAGGCTCGTGCACTCACAGTGTGCTCTGGCAGGGAAATTATTTTCCAGCAGTAAGTACCTGTAAAAAGTCACCTCCCTTGAAATGCAGTTCTGCACTAGGCACGAAGCATCGTGTGTTGTTTCCATGGAAACAGTGGGTGAAGCTGCTTTCATTCCCTCCACCCACACTAGCTTCCGCATTGCTTGGGAACGCAAGCAGCTTGTGGCATTGAGGTACCAGCTTGGGAGGCAAGGTGGGAGAGCATGCTACTTGTCTCTCAGCCCTGTTGCTAATGCTGCCTGGGTACTGCCAGGCCAGTCAAGTCAGGGTGGCTGGCATTCTCCTGTATTGTTACCAGCACATGGAACTGGATCCAAAACATTAGCTGGAAGGCTTCCATCGTTACTCACATTTGCCAGAACTTGAAACCCACAATGTTAACAAAAACTGGGGGTGGGCAGAATTCCTGCTGTACCTGATGACTATGATGTCTGAAATTGGAACCCTTTCCCAATATCACTGTCTTTTGATGGAAGCATTTCCTCTGGGATATTGACAGCAAACTAAGGAATAAAGAGATTTCAGGAAGATTTTCATTTAAATGACACTTGGTTTCCCTGCTGATGAAAGGGAAGCCTTACTCCATCTGCTAAGATCAGATTTCATCTCATCAAACACCTCAGTGTAATTATTTCTCTACCAAGTATTTAAATGAGAATGTAAATGAATAGCAAGGTATTTGAAGTCATTAATGCTGCCTGGGCTGAGGGAGAGCACTGCTGTCTCTCAAGGGACCAGACCATTCGCCATCAAAGCAGCTGCTCACCAGTGTTCATTTTGTAACCTTTATACCACATTCTTGAATTAATGAAGACACATCAAGAATCTATTTCCTTGGAGAATCTTATCATAAGGTCTGCAAAGAGAGCAAGAAGTGTGTGTGTGTATGTATGTGTGTGTGTGTGTGTGTGTGCATGTGTATGAATGTACAGGTGGATGTGAACATGTGTGTATGCCCACATAGACACACATGTGTGTGTGTGTGTGTGTGTGTGTGTGTATGAATGTACAGGTGGATGTGAACATGTGTATGCCCACATGGACACACAATGTGAACACAGACACTCAGTAATTAGTGCCAAAGGATTTGGAGTCTCTGTAAGTTGTTTTATCCTCTACTACGGTATATTACAGCAGTCCTACAGTTGAGGTAATAGCTATAAATAACCTGCTACCATACTTCTTAGGAGCCTGTTATTGGAATGTGGTACCCAACCATCTCTTCTGTATTAATTTCTCTACATGTAAAATAAGAATGAGAGGAATGCCAAGGCACTGAAAGTTGGGGTTCCTAACTGACATTGGCCATCTTTTCCTGAGCCTCACTAGAAATATCCAAGTCTTAAGACCCACCCTGACTTAGGAGGCGACAGATGAACATTTAGACTTTTCTCCATTTATAAACATCTCACTCAGTGTTATAAATAACATTCAATTTTAAAATTCCACTTTACCCTAACAACAAGATGGGCATACAATCTGCCATTTCCTTCTTTGAATGTGAAGAGTGGTAGGTTCTAGTGAGAACCTTACCTCCTCAGAAAAGTCACAAGAAAGGAGGAAAGGAAAAAGATAGACGCTGTGCGTGTGTGCTTCTGTGTGCTGGGAATCTGTGCAGGGAAAGGAGCAAGAGCAATAAAGGAGGAGCTGTGTGATGCACCCTTCTGATCAAAAAATAAGGTTCTGCAAACTGTAGAAGACTCGAAGAGGCTTTTGGTACGATAAACACCTAAAATGCTGTCTTGCAAACTAAGTGCATCATTAAGGGAGAAAAAAGAAAAAAAATAACACATATGTTCCAGGCAGAATCTTGTTTCTGTTCCCTTACATATCAGAGTTCTTAACCCTGGCTTAATACAGAGCATGCTTAAGAGTAAATTTCAGGCAGAAAGAATGTGTTTACTCTTAACAATCAGGCTCTGATTTAGCTTGACAGAAAATGGGATGGGATCCCTTGGCATAAACCGCTATTGAGAAAGTTACTCTATAGATACAAACAGATCTGGTCCATGTCTTTCTGTACAAACACAGAGCTACAATTAAAACATTAAGGAAAGTACTGTTTTCCTTAACAAGTTAACAATTCCACTTCTGCACAAAACCACACTTTCTACTGGGATAAAACCTCACATCTGTGTCCATTCATGTATGCTAACAGAATGCAGGTCAAGTTTAGCTTAATAAGCATTTCAATTCAAAATGCTTCATATATTTAAGGGCGGAAAGAAGGAAGGAAGGGGGGGAGGGGAAGAGAGGGAGAAGGAAGGAAGGCAGGAATGAAAGAAGGGAGAAAGGGGGAGGGGAGGGA